GTTTAGAAAGTCCTAGAAGTTTGGAGAAGCTTCCCATGCACTCTTTCCTTACATTTTGGATTATGTAACTTTCATTGTAAGTAACCATGCATAACTCCTAAATCTTGAACCAAACTCAAAATTCTACTTTTGCCAATGTTCTCAAAATGATTTTTCCAATCAAAATGACCTATAATTTCACCTCATTTGGCCAAACTATGAAAAATCTCAAATTTAGGTCATTTTTTATTCATTAAATCCACCAATTTTGAAACCTTGTGCTATGGATCTTTCCAATCTTTCATGGTCACTTTTATAGACTCAAAATGTCATTTGGAACAAGTTTGATGTTGTGAAGTTTTTCATTTGAAGCTTCCTTGTATGAGTTTTGGGCATAGACTTGAAATGACCTGTAATTCTCAGATGACCAAAATACCCTTTGCTTTCCAAGACCATAAGTAGAGTTACACATATCATATGAAGGCATACCATACCATTATAGAAAGCTAAGACAATGAGGAACAATTCTTATGTTGACCAGAAATTCATTTGAAATCTCCTTGAGGGGTAAAAGTAGCTTGGAAGTCAAGTCACTTTCACAGACAAATTTTCAGATACCTCAGATGACCTGTAACTTGCAAGGACCATAACTTGAGTTCTATAAATCTCCTTTATGTATTCCACCACTCAAATTAAAGGTCTTGAGATCCTCTACAAGTTTCATGTTGGCCAAGGATCCATTTGAAGCTTTCATTTTGACTTATCTTGCTTGGAAATTTGACCTAAACTAGGGGATTTTACACAGAAACCCTAATTTAGAAACTCCTCTTCTCCTTGATTTCCCTTGAATTCTTCTTGACATATCACCATATCCTTCTTCACATGCCAAATTATGAACCCCACATCTCTCCAATAGCCCTCAATGCCTTTCAATCAATCAATTGACCTAGAGTTGACCCCAGATGAAACCCTAGTTGACTGTCTTCAACTGCCATTCTTGTGACTACACCAATGACTTGTCTCCTTCTCCAAATGACTTTCTAAGTCTCCCATGATGCCCACATACTCTCCATGCTCAATCCACAACTCACAATTTCTTTGATGGTCCTCAGATGCCCTCAGGATAGGAGATAGACTCAATGCTTGACCCACTGACTTCCCAGCTTTCAAATTCTTTCTGATGACTTGAATGAGATTGAATTAGAATGATAACCTCTTGATAGGCTCACAGAGATGAGAATAATGATTGGTCCCTGCTGGATGATTTGCTATGCTATGCTATGCAGATGATTTGGCTATGTACATGACTCTATATGCAAATGCTAATGACATTGAAACATAAACCAAGTGAATAAGGTTGGGCAAATTTTAGGGTGCAACACATACCTCTGCTCCGGTCGACTCATGGTAAGTGTCTCAAACTTACATTTTCCTCGGGTTAGGTATGGTCGACCCACCGGTCGACGCATACTGGTAGCATTTGTATCTATCTAAAAATCCAGGCTTTGCGTCGACGCATAGCCTTGTTCCGGTCGACGCATAGCTGTGTGTTTTGCACAATATGTTGCCTCGGGTTAGCTCAGGTCGACCTTGCACTATGCATGGGTCGACCCCTTGTTGTTTGTTGCATAATTTTTGTGTTGTCTATTATTTTTGAAAGTTGGTTTTATTAGTTATAACAGTTTTGTCTAAAACAAATATTTAGTTGCTTTATTCATTTCATATCAATTGAATCAATTACAAAAACAAGAAAAGTGAAAGAGGTGTCAATTCAAGTTCTCATCATCTTCATCTTCTACATTTTATACCACAACAATCACACACAATAATCTTTGTTATGCATTATGAATTTTCTAAGGTGATAACGTCCAAAGCCGTGATTGGGTAATCCGGTTCGAGTTGAGGAATTGAGAGGTTTTTCTTAAATAAAACCTCTAGGGTTTTGTCCTCCAAGATTCTCTGAATTTGGGTGGTTTTGGACGAGTCTTCTCAACATATATTCGGTCGGGTGAAGGTGATCGAGGAGCGGTGGGTTCTGTCGGTCTAGTAGCGATAATCGGCGAATTGTGAAGGAGAAATTTAGGTGATCAGTCGGGCTGGGGTTTGAAGACGGAAGGTTGTTCAAACATAGAGCTATAATCGGAGGTTCATACACAAGTTGTCGAAGGACTTGATTCGAATCGAATCAAGGGACAAGAGTAGTTAGCATCTACAACAACAAGGGTGTTCGTTTGTTTGATTGTTATTCTATTTTTGTATATACGATTCTACAACAGGTTAAATTTATATTATAAGAGCTCAATTCTATTGTTAGAATTGAGGGCAGACGTACCCCGAAGCGAGGACGGCGGGAGAACTGCCTCAACAAATCCTTGTGCCTTTTACCTTACGCTTTTACATTTGCTTAATATTTGTGTGGTTTTAGTACAAACAATTATATCAAATTTAGGATTGTTTTGAGTAAGTGCTGAACTGTTTTTGACTTTAGTACAATCATTGATTGTACAAGGAAATTAGAGCAAATTACTCAAAGTTGAACTCACTTGTAGTGCTTTGCACTCCAAGTGTTTGATAAATTGCCTGAACGAAAAGTCTTGTGTGTTGTCCATTTATTGTGGTAATATTTTAAGACATTGGAACTAGTCATACCACACTGTGAGATAAATCAAATTGAGAGTGTGACTAGCATAGTGATTCTCATTACTCGTTATCCGATTCCATCGGCTAAAACGCATATCCAATTTTCTAGTAACCGTTTGTTATAGACGGTATTTTTTTCCCCAGCCGCTTCCGCAAATTTAAAAAAAAATTAAAACCATTTTTTTGGTAGCGCCGACTCATTGTTTAACAAGGGAACTATTCAACCCCCTCCCCCCCCCCCCCCCCTTCTAGATTTGTTCCATCGTCTAACAAAAGTCATCTCGAAATTGCTAGCTCGAAAGTTAAGTACTATAATTAGTAAGCTAATTTCAAACTCGCGGGTAACCTTTATTCTTGGGAGGCAACTACTTGATGGAGTTCTTGTTGTTAATGAACTTATTGACCTAGTGAAGAGAAGTAAGAGAGGATGTATTATGTTTAAGGTAGATTTCACACAGGCATTTGATTGTGTAGAGTGGGATTTCTTGCTGAAAATATTAGACGCAATGAGTTTTGGCAAATTATGGATTAAGTGGATCAAAGGTAGAGTAATGGATATTCATTTATCGATGTTAGTAAACGGTGGTGCATCCAAATATTTTATGGCTAAGAGGGGACTTAGACAAGGGGACCCTTTGTTCCCTTTCTTGTATGCTATTGTTGCTGAGGCACTGGCAGTGTTGGTAAGGAGAGAGGTTTCGAAGCAGACATACCATATTGATTTGTGAAGATAAATGGAGTAACTTGTGGGGGTTTTTTACCCCAATACCCCATTTTGAAATCAATAATACCAATATACCCCATTTTGGAAAAAAAATAACAAAAATGCCCCACATGAAGAACCTGCTCGTCCACTGGGGTGGCGAGGAGATGAAGTGATTATTGGTTGCGTAGGTGCTCATCCAATGGGTGGACGAGCATGTGAAAGAGCTTTTTTTGTTTTTTATTTCTTTTATTTTTTTAATCAAATCTTTAATAATTTTAATAATAAAAATCATATTATAAAATATATTATAGTAAATTAATAATACAATATTAATTAATAATATATTATAATAATAATAAATATTATACTATATTAATTTAGTAAATAAATACTAATTAAAATTACATTATAAGATAAAAATATTTTATGCTGTTTTAATATAATAATTAAATAAAAATTAAAAATATACCATAATAATGAATAAAATTTGTTGTATTAATTAAATACAACAATAAAATATATTAATCAAAAAGACGTGTTACATATACATTTGATCAAAAGTGGCCCCCAGTTCCACACCTTGTGGTCCTTCTCTGTCGATATCCCCTGCCCAAACGTTCATTTGCATTTGTTGTAGGTGATTGAGATGAGTCGGAAGACATGTCTTCATTGTGATGTGCTGTAGGGGGGTCTACCTGCCTTGAAGAGGGTACTGCTTGTGTTGATGGTTGCTCAGCGAGAATATCATCGATGTTAAAATCTGGCATTTGCATCAGTTGCTCCTTTGTTAGCAAAATTTTTTTGAATGATTGTGATGGTTGTGGTGGTTGTGGGTAGGTTTCGGGTTGGGTTCGTTGGATGGTTGGATAGTAGAAGTCATTAGGCGTGAAGGTAGAGGTGGGTTGAGAGAATGAAGTGTTGAAGGTTTGATATTAGAAATGAGGGGTTGTCTGATCAAAGTTGGGCAGTGGGACTATAGTGAACTGTATGGGTGGTCGAAGGTAGGGTTGGGGTTGATATTGTTGGTTGTAGTTGTAGTTGTAGTTATAATCTTGTTAAGGTAGTGGATTGTAGGGAGTTTGTTGTCGGTATGTATGCTGAGCTGATGAAGATGCGTGCCCCCCAAATTGAGATGTGTAGTTTGGTGGCACATCCTGATACATTGATGCGGCAGTTGGTTGTGTTGATGATGATCCTTGCATGCGTGGGTCAGTCAAAAATTGGTCTGGAGCAATATGCACATAAAGAATGGCACGAAACTAAGTTAAATACTTTTGTCTTGGCTTGCGTTCACCAACTACAGCGTCCCCCTGCAAAATCACATGTCTTTTATGTTTCCATTCTCTCACCTCCTCCTTGTTTAACTCTCGCCAATGAACTTTTTTGGGCTTTTCTCATTGTCATTGCGTGGTGTTCCCTTAGACACCTTGGTGGGGAAGGGATTTGTTGTTCAAATCCAAACTTGAGTTTTACCCTATATGTTTGATGCATTTCAATGGTATAGAAACAAATAAGAAAAGTTGTAGCACTCCAGATTTGGCTATCTCTAAGATTGGGCACCGGATATTGAATGTACGGCCTCCATATAAACTGCCACATAAAAAAGAAAATTATGATATTGTTAAGGAGTATAACCAACAACTATGTTCTATGGTTTCAAACTTACATCTTTTTCTTACATATGGTCCAATGCGTTTCGATATCCTTGTAGATGAAAACGAGGATTAGCATCGTAATTCCTCCGTTTTTGCGTCCATCTTGCATAAACAAAAAATATATATATATTGTTAGGCTAGTTGAATAACAAATATATATATATATATATATATATATATATATATATATATATATATATATATATATATATATATATATATATATATATATATATATATATATATATATATATATATACATAAATGTGTGTTTTAATATAGAAATACCTTTGTGCGTATGGATACGAGGGTTGCATTGTACTAACAGGAGCAAACAATGGTATACGTGTGAATGCCCAAGAAGTGAGTAGAAGAACACAACCACTCATGCTCCTAACATCCTTGACTGCAGCCTTGCATATTTCCCTGTACAGTTTTGCAAGACATGCAAAACCACAACTATAGGTGCCGCATTTTTCAAGATCCCCTACAAAAGGAATCCAGGAAGAATGCAATAGATTTTGACTTTTGTCGGGAAACAATATAGTAGCAATTACAAGTAAAATATAAACTTTAGCTTGTAACACAATTTCTTGTTGTGTGGGTGCAGAGTTATTTTTTAAAATTTCATATAAATTTTCTAGCCAGGTGATCCTAACAGAACCTCTATTTTTATCCGCTTCTGTAGATTCCACCCCCAAGTTTTCCATGTAAACATCATTTGTTACTTCGGTAGGACCGTTGATAGCTTTTCCATCAACTCGGAAACCAAGTAACATATTCGCATCTTCTAGCGTTATTGTGCATTCACCTGTTAGGAAGTGAAAAGTGTGTGTTTCCGGTCTCCATTTCTCTAACAGAGCCACAACTAAGCTTAAGTCGATTTTGAGACTATTTATTTTTGCTATATGAGCAAAACCTGTTATTTCTAGATACTCCATTATTCTCGCACTCGCTTGAATGGGAACATGAGAATGCACTTTAAACCTTGCATTAGTCTGCAACAATATTGAACCAACAAATTGTAATCATTATTTTTGATATGATATAATATTTAACCAAGCAATTAAAAGCATTATTTTTTAATGCACTCGAATAGAGAAAAACTTACACTAACTTGAAAGTTTTGTTGTGTTCCACGGTGTTCATCGTCCATCCACAACAATGTTATTTTGATTGAGTATCAGGAAGTTTTAAGAAATGCAAGAGAGTTTGTTGATGTTACAATGCTTTGTGTTTGAAATAAAATTGTGTGTAGAAACTTGCTTGTGGTAAATCCAAATTTATAGATGAGCATTTTACATTTGGTAGTGTAAACGTGACTGCATGAAGTGACAATTCCATGGCCTTGGTAATATATATTAGGTCTTACACAATGGCATGCATGCAAAGCTAAAAAGAATAGGTCTTACACCATGTCTCATGCATGCAAGACAATTTTTTCAGCATGCATAACTCACTCGCCCATTGAGTGGACGAATTGACACAAGCACAAGAGTGTGCTTGCCCAATGGGTGGACGAGCAAGGCTTACACGTGAGCATGGGGACATATGATATCTAACTTGGCAGAGTTTCATAAACTTTGTACTAAAGGCAACCAAAAACCTTCCAATCATTGTTTTGGTCCAGTCTACATACTATCGAATGGGTTCACTCTTTGGTAAACGAGGACACAAATGGACCAAAATGCTAGCTACAGGGAAAGTTTTTACAGATGGTTGTAACAAGGGAATGGTCGATGAGGTAGTCAAGGCTAACACACACAATGTCATGCAATTTAATCGCGAAAGATTATGTTTCATGGTGCAAGAAAAAATTAATCAAAACGATGGTTGTCCAACGGATACTTTCAGCGTTGACCTGAGGAATCGTTTGTTTGTGTGACTGTGGAAAATTTCAAGCATTTCACTTGCCTTACTCCCACGTAATCGCAGCATGTTCTAGCATACGACAAGACTACACAATTCACATTCTAGAGGCCTTCACAGTACTTAACGTATTCAAAGTCTACAAAGAAAGCTTCTTGGGACTACCACACGAGGAGAACTGGCCAAAATATGAAGATTTTACTCTATGCAACGACGATTCCATGAGAAGAAATAAAAAGGGACGCCCAACTGGTAGTAGAATTAAAACTAAGATGGACTACGTTGAAAAAGAAAAGAGAAAGTATGAGATTTGTAGAAAAATAGATCATATGCGTAGAAAATGTCCTAATGTTGTCGGCCCGTCAAACCGACCGCCTATTTAATTTTATATATTTTGCTCACTAGTTTTGTATGTAATTCAACATTTATTTTTAATCCAAGACAACTTTCAAATTATAGCAATATTAGCAAATTACAACCATAAAGTTAAAAATAAAACTCAGAAAACTAACATACACGCTAACCAACAACAACTAACACAAGTGAATCCTCTGTTAACTTCGTCACTATGCTGAAAACATGCAATGGACATATTCGTCATTTTCTATATGATCCAAGTAATACATATACCCTTCGGGCTAGCATAAGTCAGCGTTATATACGGACAATGATACTCCATTTTTCTCACTGTCATGCAACAACCGCCCAACTGCCGAAACTCTGCAACCACAGTTCTAAAATTCCACTGCGGATTTAGGTAAACACATTCAATGACTGAGACTCTATAAAAACTTAACACCTCCATGTACAAACATCAGTCATTCTTTTGTAATACATGACAAAAAGAAAAATTATATTAATATATCATTCACATTATTTTTCCATTTAATATAACATAATATAATTAAATTAATTTAATATAATATAATATATAATTAAATTAATTTAATATAACAAAATATATAATTAAATTAAAAGTAATATAATTAAAATTATTAATATATTTTATAATATAATTTTTATTATTAAAGATTTAATTAAATAAATAAAAGAAATAAAAAAAACAAAAAAAAATAGCTCTGCACATACTTGACTACTCATTGAACGAACACACATAGCCCATAATCACCACTTTATCTGATATTTTTTTTCAAAATATATATTAACATTATTGATTTCAAAATGGAATATTGAGGTAAAAAAAACCAACTTGTGGAGAATTAAGGCAATTTTAAGAGGTCTCGAGTTGAGGTAAAAATTTCATGAAAAGCCGTATATTTGATGTTTGTGCCATTGAATCTTTGGAAATTTTACCCCATACCCCTACAATTATACCCATACCCCTACACTAAAATTTTTTGGACCAAAATATCCTCGTATGAAAAGTTATAATTTTTTGGTTTGTTTATCGGAAGACTTTTTGGAATTCTTCCGGTTTACATTTTTTTGGTTTGTTTACCGGAAGACTTTTTGGAAGTCTTCCGGTTTACATTTTTTTTTATTTGTTTACCGGAAGACTTTTTGGAAGTCTTCCGGTTCACATTTTTTTGTTTTGTTCACCGGAAGACTTTTTGGAAGTCTTCCGGTTCATGTTTATTTTTTTTTTATTTTTAATTTTTAATTTTTTTTAATATTCAAATTACAAATATATTTATTCTATTTTAGTTAATTAATATATTTATTCTATTTACTCTATTTATTCTATTTATTTATTTAATAATAATTATTCCACTAATTTGATTTTTTATTAATTTATTCTTATTTATTTATTTAATAATAATTACTCCACTAATTTGGTATTTTTTTAATCAATAAAAATAAAAGTTGTTAACTAATTTATATATTGATTGTGTTCTTTAAAGAAGAAAATTAACAATTTAATAATATATTTATATAAAAAATAAAAATAAATATCATATTTAAATTATAATCCTATCATTTCTTCTATCAAAAATTTTTACCAAAAAATTATAATATATAACATTTATAATTATTTAAACAATATTTTATGGAGTAAAATATTAACTTTTAAAAATATATTTTATGGGGTAAAATATACTTTTAAAAATTTTCACCATAAAATATTAACTTTTAAAATTTGTAGGGGTAAAATATTTTATGGGATAAAATATTAACTTTTAAAATATTAAAAACTAATTAAATCATAAATATTTCTTTCCGAGTAATTGTGGTGTCTCAAAATTCTCAGGCATATCTAGAATCACAAAGTCGACTGAAAATGATAGAACATCTACTCTTACCGAGACATCTTCAAGAATTCCATATGGGCATGTGATTGATCTATCCGCCAGTGTTAGAATCATTTGAGTAGGTTTCTACTCACCATATTTTAACTTACTTATCATGGACAATGATATCAGATTGATGGTAAGTATTTAGCGAACCAATGATATCATATTGATATAAATATTTAGCGAACCAATAACATAAGGAATAATGAATCTACCTGATTAATGATTTTGGGTGGAAGCTTTCTTTGGATGATTTCACTACACTCTTCTGTTAAAACTGTGCAATATCAGTAAGCCATAGACCACCAGTTAATGGGTCTAATCCTCCACGAAAAGTAAGAAAGTCCGCATATTTTGACCAATTCAAGGTAAAAAATGGGGTTGCTCCCTCAGCAAAACTTGGATAAAGTTGAGCCAAAAGATCCCGATTCAAGATAAACTTGGATAATGTTTTCATCACTCTTCTGCTAAATATTTATGATTTAATTAGTTTTTAATATTTTAAATGTTAATATTTTACCCCATAAAATATTTTACCCCTACAAATTTTAAAAGTTAAAATTTTATGGGGAAAATTTTTAAAAGTATATTTTACCCTATAAAATATATTTTTAAAAGTTAATATTTTACCCCATAAAATAATGTTTAAATAATTATAAATGTTATATATTATAATTTTTTGGTGAAATTTTTTGATAGAAGAAATGATAGGATTATAATTTAAATATGATATTTATTTTTATTTTTCATATAAACATATTATTAAATTATTAATTTTCTTCTTTAAAGAACATAATCAATATATAAATTAGTTAACAATTTTTATTTTTATTGATTAAAAAAAATAATACCAAATTAGTAGAGTAATTATTATTAAGTAAATAAATATAGTAAATTAATAAAAAATCAAATTAGTGGAATAATTATTATTAAATAAATAAATAAAATAAATAGAGTAAATAAAATAAATATATTAATTAACTAAAATAGAATAAATATATTTGTAATTTGAATATTAAAAAAAATTAAAAATTAAAAATAAAAAAAATAAACATGAATAGGAAGACTTTCAAAAAATCTTTCGGTAAACAAATCAAAAAAATATGAACAGGAAGACTTCCAAAAAGTCTTTCGGTAAACAAATAAAAAAAAATGTAAACCGGAAGACTTCCAAAAAGTCTTTCGGTAAACAAATCAAAAAATATAAATCGGAAGACTTCCAAAAAGTCTCGGTAAACAAACCAAAAATTTTAGTGTAGGGGTATGGGTATAATTGTAGGGGTATGAGGTAAAATTTCCTGAATCTTTTCTACAGGCTGCTTCTCATTTTTTGGCTCATTTTTTGGTGTGCAATGTGGGTACGTTTCCTTTTAAATTTTTGGGTATTTGTGTTGGGGAGTAATCATAGGGGAGTCGAATTTTGAAAACAGATTGTGGAGTTGTTTAAATCAATACTTTCAGTATGAAAAAGCAAGTTACTTTCAATGGGAAGGAGAGTTACATTGATTCATTTGTCCTTAACTTCAATGGGAAGGAGAGTTACATTGATTCATTTGTCCTTAACTTAAGGATTCATTATTTTGTGTTATTTAACTTCATAGTGAGGATAGTTTCGTTTGGCCAAGAGCTTCTCCTTGAAACTTTTCAATAAAATCTTGTTACGATGGTTGGGCGAAGGCAACAAATATTAGTGACTTGGATATTATTCTCAAGGCTGCATCCTTAATAAAATCAAATATGCAGCCGCTGGTATTTTTCAGTGGAGTATGTTTTACATGCTATTTTAATTACATCCACCACGCAGAATTGGAAAAACTTTG